CCCCCCCCCCCCCCCCCCCTATGTTATGGAGAAACATAAACTAAACAACATTTGTCTGGGCACTGCATCCAAATTCTTTACCAAATTTGAATTAAAAATCTAATACAAAAAATAAGCACTATGATAAAAAAAATAAAAATAAAAAGAGAATTAAAATGAGTGAGTGTGCCAGCACCTTTTCGACACCGTAATCTTTGCCGATTTTTAATTATTTTTCGGCATTGACAAATGCCCTGAAAATTTAGAGATGTTACATAATCAATAACTCATTAAAATTGTTTCAAAAAATAATAAAATTTTTTAGGCCCCGAAATAAAGTGAAAACAAAAGGTGAAAAATGAAAAAAAAAAACAAAATAGTGAGTGGGCGAACACGTTTTGACACCCCCATCTTTGACGATTTTTAATGTTTTTTTGACTTAGCAGAATGACTTCAAAATTTATAGTCGTGTAGGTTACATCATAGCAAAGTCACACAAAACAAATTCAAAAAAAAAACCTTATTTTTAGACCCCAAAATATGTTTTGGCGGGGACCGAACCTGGAGGTGTTCGGCCCCCGAACGGGACCCCGAACGCCCGAACGTTCGAGGGCCAGCCCGGGGCCCCCGAACGTTCGGTCAGGTAACCCTGTATATATATATATATATATTTTGTAATATGTTCGGCCTAACATGTTCGGGAGGCGTTCGACCGAATACCCCGAATATGTTCGGACATTCGGAAAAGTTTCGAACATCTTAAGTGTGCTACATATGTAAAAACTTAAATTGAACAACATTTGTCTCAACATTATATTCAAATTCTTTGTAAAAATAAAAAGAAAAATAAAATAAATAATAAATAATATTAATAAAACAAATTAAAAAATAAAAAAAATAAAATTAATGTGTGGGTGAGAATCGCACATTATTAAAAAATCGTTAATTTTTTTAAAAAGTAATGAAATAAAGTGAAAAAAAGTGAAAAAAAGTGAAAAATAAAAATGAAAATAATGTGTGAGCGAGCAAATTTTAACACCGCCATCTTTAACGATTTTTCATTTTGTTAAGGCTTAGCAAAATGCCTTCAAAATTTATAGGCATGTACCTGACATCATAAAAAACTCCTTCAGATTCGTACATCAAACGCCCGAACGTACGGAGGTCGGTTCGAAGGTTTTCGTACGTACGGGCTGGTCTCCATGTGCAACCTAATAATAACACAAACAAAAGTTGCAAGACAGTCGTCTCATTATTCTCTACGAATTTCAGTTAAAAATAAAAAATTATAAAGAAAACTTCAATGAAAAAAAAAAAAAGTTTCAATAATCACAATCATATTATATATTCTTTTAGTTTTATAGTTTCATAGGAAATTATATAATATTTTTTATGAAAAAATAAATTGTAGTATTATTTTGCACAATACTAGGCTCCAGAATGGCCCGGGGTCACTTGCGCGGCCGGGCCAAAAACATAAAAAAAAAAATAATAAAAAATATATATATATATATATATATATATATATATTTTTTTTTTTTTGAATTTGATGAAGAATTTCGATATGATTCTGAGGCAAAAATTGTTAAGTTTACTTTTCTGCATAACGTATGTTTTTTTGTGGATTTGTTTTTTTTTTTTTTTTTTTTTTTTGCCGGGACCTCCTTGGACCCTGCACTGGCTGCCCAACCGGGACCTGGATGGCCCGGCTGGTAGCCTAAGCACAATATTTACTTTATAATTCTATTTTAAAATTTCATATTTCTTCTTTTATTTCTTTATATTTATAGACTACCGGAACATATGGACAGGGTTGTAGGTAATCGCACTACTTCTGCATTTGATTTGACATGTTGGCATTGGTCTGCAGTACTGGATGTTTTGTGTATAGTCTGTTCTTTGTTTTTTGTGTGTTGAGGTAGGACTTTTTTCCCTGCTAAAACGGGCTTGTACGGTTGGTAGCCGGGTATTGCATTTCGTAGGGTTGTTCGGTAGGCTTGGGCGGCCCATTTACACACTTAGGGTGTTCCATGGGCCCGAAGATAGTGTTGGGTGTCGTTTTAGGACATGGGAAGTTTGACAAGTGTTTTCTGGACGACCGTCAGGTCGCATGTTTGAACCATCCCACTTAGCCAGGCAGTACGTAGACTATATAGGTTTTAGTCACGATAGACTCGACCTCTTACGGGACGCTCACTAACGCTTGCAGTGACGACTGTCGGTACGTGGAACGAACAGGGGGAAATTTGGGATTGTGGAAAGTTGTTTGCCGTAACTATCGAGGAATTGTGTTTTTCTCTTTGTTATCTACTTGCTGTGTACGTTCAATTGAGCTTTGTGTTGACTTGACTTGCAACCATGTTGTGACTTTGATTGATACTATCGAAGGCGGGTGTGAACGATCCCGGAGTCAAGCAGCTGGGATAAGTGAGCACGAGTTACTTGTGTTACTTGTGTTATTCGTCAACTCCGTCTTGACTGGGTTGCATCGGGTACTACGACCTTTACGGGCTACCGCGCATGTGGGTGTATTGTTTCTGCGGATCGCAGGACAATGAGAGTATTGCCGGTCGTGTTGGGGATTGGAAATCGGCGGTGTGCTTACCGATGATATGGTGGGCCATGGAAATGGTCGGGACTACGATGGTAGCAACCACAATCGCGGACGTGACTATGGCGGACACCGCGTGTATGGTAGAGGACACCGTGGCTATGAGAGCGACCAGAGTGATGGAGGGGATAGGAGCTATGATGGCGACCAGAGGTTGGGAGGCGAAAGGAATTTTGATAGAGGCACGAGGTGAGGACTAGTGATCTGCTTTAATTGTGATGAACCAGATAACTACGCAAATCAGTGCTCGTTTCCAAGACGTAACTCGCAACCCTCAATGTCGATGAGTCAGGGTGGTGGTAGTCCAACGCGTACTAATGTGAACAGGCGTCAGGCTTTGGACCCATTGGAGTCGAAAGTAGTCGAGATCGGCAAGAGGGTTGCAGCAGTTTGCCAATACGTGGAAGCGGAGCAGCAGAAAAAGGTGGTGAAAGAGCGAAGGAAGGCAGAGCGGAAGGAAGCCGAGGAACGGGCCGAGGCCGAACGAGCAGCGGTGGTGCTTAACAAGCAAAGGAAGGAGGAGCAAGCACGCAAGGAGGCGGATGCGAAGGAAGAACTGCATAAGAGCTTGGCCATTAGGATGGTTGTGCGGGTGGGAGAACTGCGCGAGGAGGTGCGTGAGGACGTCCGACAGAAGATCCGCGAAGCGATCAACGAGTTGTGCATGATTGTCACTCACTGGAAGCATAAAAAAAAGGATCCCGTTGAGTTCACGGCGGGGAGTAGGGCTAGTAGTAGCAAAACTGAGGAACTGAACCTCCAGACACGACGTTTGTGTGTATCGGAGAAGCGTAAACGTGGACCGGAGGTGCCTATTGAAGGCAGTCCTCCGATGGAGCTACCTTCCAAGCGCACACCTGTACGTGCGGTACAAGGAGCTGGGGGAACAAGAAGGCTGACAAGAGCGAGGACGTGCAAACAGAAGGTTGCCACGCCGAAGAAGACACCACCGTCGATACGTAAGAAGACTCCTGCGACTATTGGTGTAGTTGGGAGACTGCGATTCGAAAAACGGGTTCTTAACGACCTTAAGAATCTTGACGCTGTCGTTCTGCAGAATATATGTAAGGATGAGAGTATTCCTTATAATAGAAAGTTTGGAGTGATTTTTGATATCGCTACGTATCGTACGCATGTTGCGTATGGAACTGACAATGACGAGGAGTTGATTGCTCCACCGGTGGTAAGTGCGGATGCAGTGGCCGAGGAAGATCGTGAGGAAAAAGAGGGGTGATGTGCCTTCAGTATTGCCGACTTGTGGTGCATTGTCCGGTGCTGGACGAAGTTACGTACTCTAATTGATGTCGTTGATACTCGTATTGAGGAGCTGCTGAGACTTGCGGTCGTGAATTTGTCTCTGTATGGGGTCATACGTTGGACTTGGAAATGTATCGATTCTTGGGTGCGGTTATTAGGCACTTTTGGACCTGAGTTCGTGAACATTCGGTCTAGTGTCTATGTGGCGGTGTCGCCATATTGTAAATCGCTCTGTCGGGAAAACCACTATAGACACCTAGATGTCTGATGACGTGAACACATTTATGTAGCAAGGAACCGTACCCCTAATCATTTCTATCGATGGCTGAGTTGTTATGACATTGCGAACTATGTCCTACTACTTGTGGACACAATCACTAATGATGAATTGACTAAGCTTGAGAGGGTGTACATTCGGCAGTGGTCCCCATTCCTTGACACTTCTGGTGTGCGTAAGAGTAACCGTCAGAAAGTAAACGGTAAGTCACTGGGTAAAAATGAACGTGCACACCTGGGAAAATCAACGAAGTGCTCGCAGCATACGGTAACACCAATTCGATTTCGTCTAATGTGGTCTGATGATTGGTAGCTGAATCTTTTTAATATACTGAAAAGCCAGGAGTCGGATGGTATTCATCATTTTGTGATCCATAGTAGTGGGGGGAATACTTGGCAGACCACGTGGAAGAATATCGTGCGAAAATTTGGTGATACTGAAGTGTTACGAGGGACTGAAACACGCCGTTTGAGGGAGTGTGAAGGCGGGTTTGAGGCTGGGGGGCAGCTATTGATTGAGTATGTCGTGTCGTGGAAACCCAAGTGTCGTTTTTGAAAGGTTTGCTCGCCTCCCTACTTAAGAACCCACGTACTATTGATCGTTTCCGGAAATGGGACATGCGCTCTATGCTCCGACTGTATAACGCTGCGAAGGACTTCACAAGGAAATCCACGAGGAAATACCTTCGCAGACTTATTTTTCGCATCTTTCTCGATCGTTTTGATCTTAGCTTGAGTGCTGACTTGCTTATCAGGGTTAAGTTCGATGATAAAATTAGTGTGTGTGAGTTACGTAAGTTTGTCAATGATATTATGATGAAATGCAACTTACCTCCTTGCTTCTTACAAAGAGCACGTAGGAAGACTCGTATCGTCTGGCTTAAAAACCGGACAGTCGGGGATCTACTGCACAATCATAGGCAATTCAGCGCCTGTAATGTGTTGATCTGTCAATGCACAGGGTTACCCTATCCCCGGATGGAAGGGCACGTGCACTTTCGTTTGAGAAAGGAGTTTATTGATAACCCTATTTTCGCCAATGCGAATAATATCCCACTGGCACATCAGGTGGATCGACTGAGGTCCTTACGTTCAGAGGTAGAACAAGGTTTCTCCAGTTGGCGAAACCTACGTGGTGAAGCGCTAAGTGTGCAGCTCGATATGTTGAGGTCATGTATGAATTCGGCAAAGGAGACCGGTAATGATCGCCTGTTTATCCGGGATGTTGAACAAGTGAAACAACAATTTGATGGACTGATGCTCACCCCGCTCGACCGCAACCCGGGAAAGATGGTGGTGATGTGTCCGAAGATCTATTTTGATGCAATGATGGACACTTTTGTTCGTAATACTGCATATACCGTTGTGTGTGCTCCTAAAGCGGTCGTACTACGTGAAGTTAAGGAGGATATGAAGACTGCTGGTCTGATGAAATTTGTCCGATGGGAAAGTAAGGGTTCATTAGGATCTGCCTATATCATTCCGAAACATAAGGACATGACTAGGTATCGTCCTATTTGCCCAACCGATAGTGAGCCAATGGTTCGCACGGGAAGGGCGGTCACCAAAGGGTTGAATTTCCTTCTGGCCCGGACGCCTATCAATTGTCATTTTAACCTTCCAGCAGTCTCAATGCTGAAAATAAAACTTGACGTGGTTAATTCTAGGATTCGGGGTCTCCAGGGACCGGTTAATCTCACGTCACGCTGTTATTATATCAAAGATATGTTTAGTAGATTGCCTCATGTTGACATTTTGAGGGCGGTAAGTTGGCTTGTGGACCACCATGTGGGGAAGGGGTGTAAATTTGTCCGGGTCAACACAAGGGGACGTGAAGCTTCATTTGGTAGCTCGACCGGAGCGGATCAAAGGAGGAGAATTGACTTCGGGGATCTGTTACAGTTCGTGTCAATTGACTTGCGGCATACTTACACCTATGCAACGACAATGTTGCTCCGACAGGACGTGGGCATACCAATGGGGAAGAGCACAAGCCCCCCATTGGCATGCATCCTGTGTTTATTCTGAACATTTGTTCCTCAGTGGGTTGGGGCGCTTTGCCCGTTATGTGTTTGTTATTCGGTTGGTTGACCATGTTGTGCTGGTAATCGCTTCGCTCACAGACAAAACTCTTGATTGGGTACTGCAATGCTTTGCGAAATGTTACCTTGGGAATGACATTCTCGATTTCCTGGGTTGTGAGGTCAGGTGCTCTGAACATTATCCGTACCTTGGGTGCGTGCAGATGTCACGCAACGAGACGAGTCTGTGGGCACTGGATGAGCTGGAATTTCAGTCACGACAGTCATTTTTGTCCTGGGGCAACAAACAACAAAAGAGTGCGGCCATTGGGAGTTACCTTCATCGAATCGACCGAAACACTTCGATCCGAAGTGAGATTCTGGTACGGGTGCTGTCATTACGACTTGAACTTCGTCGGAAGGATGTGCCCACGTCCTTCTTTGAACGAACGTTACGAAGATTTGCCTTTCGACGTAATGGGATTTGGAAGCAAACTGTGGAACTGGTAACAGGGTGGTGAACAGATGGACAGGGTTCTAGGTAATCGCACTACTTCTGCATTTGATTTGACATGTTGACATTGGTCTGCAGTACTGGATGTTTTGTGTATAGTCTGTTCTTTGTTTTTTGTGTGTTGAGGTTTACTTTTTTCCCCGCTAAGAGGGGCTTGTACGGTTGGTAGCCGGGTATTGCATTTCGTAGGGTTGTTCGGTAGGCTTGGGCGGCCCATTTAAGGACTGGTACGAATCTGGTAACCTGGACAGTACTTTGACTGTTTTGGCACTTAGTGTGTTCCATGGGCCCGAAGATAGTGTCGGGTGCCGTTTTGGGACATGGGAAGTTTGACAAGTGTTTTTTGGACGACCGTCAGGTCGCACGTTTGAACCATCCCACTTAGTCAGGCAGTACGTAGACTATATAGGTTTTAGCCACGATAGACTTGACCTCTTACGGGACGCTCACTACCGCTTGCGGTGGCGACCGTCGATACGTGGAACGCGCGGGGGGAAATTTGGGATTGTGGAAAGTTGTTTGTCGTAACTATCGAGGAATTGTGCTTTTCTCTTTGTTATCTACTTGCTGTGTACGTCCAGTCGCGCTTTGTGTTGACTTGACTTGCAACCATGTTGTGACTTTGATTGATACTATTGATACAAGGGCAAATAGGGTGGTCAGAAAAAAAAAAGAAAAAAAGTTTTTTGTTAGGCTACCTAAGTGGTTCCGGATAACTTGTCGACCGAGCAAAACAAAAATTAAAATTAAAATTCATATATCTATATCTATATATATATATATATATATATATATATATATACAGGGTCACAAGTCCGTACGTACGGAGGTCCCCAGGCAGACCTCCGTACGTACGGGCGTTCGGGGTCCCGTACGGGGTCCGAACCCGACGGTGTTCGGCCCCCACCAAAAATTATTTCGGGGCCTAAAAATAATTATTTTTTTCTGAATCTGTTCTTATGAGTTCTCTATGACGTGGGGTACATGCATGTAAATTTTCAAGTCATTTGGCTAAGCCAAATAAGAATTAAAAATCTCCAAAGATGGCGGTGTCAAAACGTACTCACCCACGTATTTTTTCACTTTTTACTTTTTGTTTTCACTTTAGTTCGGGGTCTTAACAATTTTATTATTTTTGAAAATTTTATAGTGGGTTTTGTATTATGTGAAGTACACATCTGTAAATTTTCAGGGCATTTAGATCTGCCAAAAAAAATAAAAAATCGCCAAAGATGGGTGTCGAAAACATGCTCGCGTACTCAATAAATTTAATTCTCTTTTTATTTTTATTTATTTTTATTATTAGTATTTATTTTTTGTATTTTATTTTTATTTCAAATTTGGTAACGAGTTCGGATGTAATGCTCAGGTAAATCTTGTTTAGTTTATTTTTGTCCATAACATATCTTGTTTTCAGATTTTTTTGATGACGTTTTTTTTTTTTTTTTTTTTTTTTTTTTT